CTTCACAAGGAAAAGTTTGGGATTTTCTTTCTTTCTCTTGAAAAGGAAGTACTCTCGCTATAATTTGTGTCCGCTGCTATTTACATGGACAAAAACGTTTAATTATTCATGCATTCTTGTGAATCGGGCATTAAATCCATCTTTGAGTAAATAAATGCATGATTTTTACAAAAAGTTCCAGCATAGTATTTCTAATGTATTTCTTACAAAAAGATAAAACCAAGCTGTTTATGCTGGATCAATAGAACTCAAACTTCACTGCAGAAACAGGCTGATTTGGGGCTTAACGCAGTGAATGACAAGAAAAATACCAGCCTTTGTTTGTTTTTGAAACAATTTTGTGTTTGCAGGGGGTAATGGGATGCTTTGATTCTTTGTAACACCAGTGACCACTGGTGTTTCAGGCACATCTTAAAACTGGTTTATATTTTATTTTGTTAGATGATTTGGGGACTATGCCTGATATTTCCCCACTGTCTTACAATGCTGCTGGTGAAAAAGTTCTAAAGTATTCCAGTATATTTACCTTAGATCAGCTGATCTACGTATGCAGAAGAACACAAAATTTTATTTACCATCCGATCCTGACTCATTGGCATATTAAAGAAGTTTCTGTTATTGCATCGTGTGTGTAAATGCCTGCTCTTCCATGTGAAGCTGCAGCTCTCCTGCACATATGTAACAGTCAACAGGCTGCTGCAAACCTCAGTAAACACATTTGTATGATTCGTTTAAATACTCTCCTCCCAAAATTTACAAACACAAATACATGTGCGTGTCCACACTGATACTTTTTTCCTCCCAAGCACCAGAAGAAAGCTGCTGAATTGCCCCATGATGCTTTTAATTTTATATTTTCTTCGATGGGAATTTTACTATTAAAGCGATTTAATTGCCGATGATATCCAGCTATATCTTTTCATTTAAACCAAGTGAATCATGAGTTCAACATGAGTAGCAGCCATGTTAACACCTCTCTAGATCTTTTTTTCCACTTAAGAAGTATTAATACTTTTAGATGCACCGTTTAAGAGAAGCTGGAGGTGCTCGTTTATCTCTAACAGCTACTGTAATGCACTTTTTTACTCAGTCAGTAAAGCAGCCCTCAGCCATGCTGCTGCTGGATTACTCTCAAGTAATAGGTTAACCAGACGATCTCATATTACATTACAGCAGTTGTTCCATAATTTATAATCTGTGGAGTAGCTTCGATTTGTGTTTTCATCACTGCTGAATTTGCTTTTATTGTTTGTGCTAATAAAGAGGCAGAAACTCGGGCCAGGCCACAGTCAGGGAGCACTCCTTAGATAAAAGAAAAATAGAAAACTAATGAAAAGCCTAATTAAGAAATAAAACCAACGTGTGCCATCACGACAGCTTCGATGGACCTTTGCACTGATTCTCCAGGTTTCTGGAGCTGCAGAGGAAGGAACGCTATTCGTCTCCACGATGGTGGTGGTGGAGAGACGTCAGTCAAAAATCACTCGCAGGTGTTTAATAATGATTCATGTCACTATTGTAGCTCATTAACTTTGTCTGCTCTCTCCCACAGTTTGTGTTTTGTCCTGTTTGTTCTCTCTTTGTTTTGGTCTTTTCTTTTCTCTGACTCCTGGCTGCCTCTAAATGGCGTCCCCTCCTCCAGTCTGGTTATAGGGACGTTCTTCCTCCCCGCTGTTGCTAAGTTCCTCTACAGGATCTTTAGGGTTTCTCCCCCATATTGAATGCAAAGCAACAGATTTTTTTTAAATTAAATTGGCACTACATAAATGAGTAACCGAATAAAACTAAATGTAGGATCAAGATGTGAATCACTTCCTCATCTCATTCATCATGTTGTTCCCAAACTGTTTTCCTCTTCCCTTAGAGACCACCGACCTTCCCCTTGCAGATATACAGCACTGACAGGGGGGCTAAGCTCCTGTTAAATCCCAGTCGGCCTCATCTAGACGCCTTAATCACATTAAATATGGGAACTATTCCAGAGCAGTGTTAGTGGATTCAAAGTCTATTTTTAGTTTTTGACAATGACAAATGGTTAATTAGAGGTCTGTTCTTAAAGTCTTTCTTCAAGTGACTGCTCCTTGTTTGCTCCACCATGGATAAGTGTATTTTCTCTGGCAGTCCAACAGGAATGGTGCAAGGAGTCACTTCAGTAAATGAGCGCATCATCCTGTGCTGCTGCCGTTTTACATGCCAGGCACTGAGTGGTGCAAAGCAGGAAGCGTCTTCAGTTCACAACTCTTGGCTGTTACATGTCGTGCTGGTTTCTTTGATATAGTATCTATGATTTGAGGTAGCAGATTGCAAAAAATACAACACGAAAAAAAATTACAGACAAAAACTAAAACAAGGAAGCGGACGGGCAGCCTGCATTCCTCTACCATCTGCTTTCTGGCCTAGATGAAAAGCTGCTTTGAAAGCAGATTGCCTCTGGCTGAGAAAACAACTAAAATCATGCTGCATAATTAGGCAAATCAATAAAAAACGACAAACAGAAGAACCTTGAAAAGAGGAACGAGTCACACAAGCTGCTATCCAGCTTCTTTAAAAGCATTGTTGATTTTCCTCATCAACAATTCACACTTTCAAAAGCTGTAAGCACAGCCTTTTTTCAAATCCACACAAACAAACTGCTTTCATGCATCTACCACAACAACTCAATGCTACTCCTATCAAGGTTAGCATTGATGGTTTCTCCTCTGCACTTATACAACATGGCTAGGCACAAATTTAATTAGCGGGGAAACAACTGAGGAGGGGCACAGCTCGAACAGCAGGCATATGATGGAGGGCACTGTGGAGAGAAGGTTAGCTGAAAATTATGAGGGGGGAAATACGACATCCCTGTTCGTGCCAAGGGATGGCGGGAGCCTGACCCTCATTCTGGGCTCTCCACCAGCCATGCTCCGATTGAAACTTACCGGAGCGTCGTGGACCAGAGTTTCCATTCTCTATCATACCAGCTGGCACTGCCCTCCTCCTTCTCAAGGAGAGGTGGCTTAAAAGGCCTGCATGTGAGGAACAAGAAGGGAGGGGAGTCTTTAAAAGTGGCATCAATCGCAAACCTCTCGCTAAAACTCTCAAGTCTTTGTTTTTGACACAACACAGCACATCAACGCAAAATCTGAGTTCACAGATTAAACTGTAACTGGATAATGTGAAGATTCCCCACGGTGAGGGAAGAGTGTTGTGGGAGCAGGAGAGTGTTTTCCACGGGACTTTACAAAAAGAAGCCAAAATAGGAAAACTCTGGTGAGGAAAGAAACTCCCGACGTAAGCTGTGTGCGTACATGGCTTTTAAATTTAAAGAAATTATATCTGCTGTTGGTTCTCAACAGTGTGCAAGGCATTAAAGCACTCAGCTGCACACAGCTGGATGTTCTGTGAGAAATGCTCCATCAGGCTGTAGTTTTCATTTCAGCTATTTTGGTGCTTTGTGTCACTGTGAATTATGACAATCCGGACCAAACCGGTTCCACTGAAGTTGCAACATTTTTACAAACCAATTCTGGTTCATCTGTTTCATTCAACGATCCGCTTTCGCCCTTCTCATTCTCCGTCGCCGCCATGCTTTGTCCACCATGTGCGTATGAAAACAAAGGCCATGTGCGCTTTACCCATATTCTATCGCGATATTTCATTTTCTTATCATTGCCTAACACTGTACCGGTATTACCTACTTTAAAGTATCACTTTTTTCATAAATACACGAACAAGATTCCTGTTAAATTACAATAAAGTAAAGAATGTGCACCTATAATCTACAAAAACAATTTCTTACTATAAAAATATTACAGCACTATACTCTATAGAATATAAACTTCATTACACAATATTGTCAGATGGTTGCTTCCGATTTTACTCTTAATTTATTGTACCTACTCTAATTTTAATAAACAGTAATTGCAGGTATATCTGTACTGTATTATATATAACTATATAATAGAGGTGGGAATCACCATACATCCCACGATACGATATTATCACAATACTTACCGCACGATACGATATTATTGCAATTTTTTAAAATATTTTGCGATATTCAGATTCTGTACATAAAAGTAAACTTTATCAATATTCATTTTATCTAATATCAAAGCCTCGCACTCAGTCTTTCTCTCATTTCAGTCAGTTTTATTGTTGACAAACTGAACGGTTTGTATTACAGTCTAGTCCAACTTAACTGAATGCAACCATCTGGTACAATTATAGCTATTCTGAACTATGCAATTTATGAAAACTATGCAGCCCCTTCAGCAACTGAAGAATTTGAAAGTAAATTAAAACTAAATATAATTTTACATTAAATAAAAGTTTTAAACTTAATTAAAATAAAACATTTCTTAAATTAAAAGAAGTAAACTGTCATGTTTATTGCTGCCAAAAAACAAGTTAAACACATTTGGACAGTGAAGGAATGTCAGGATCCTTGCTCAGAAAAAGGATCAACATGCTCTGAGCACAAAAACCTTTTTTGTAACAAAATATCGATTTCTGCTGTCCCTGTATCGATACATTATTAGCAAACAAAATATCACGATACTACATAGTATCGATTTTTTCCCCCACCCCTACTATATAAGCATATATAGACAAATTAGACAATAACCTTCTGCGAACAGTATTTCTTATAACTCAGCAATATAATGCATCATAAAACAATATCATTCATTCACAACAAGTCAGCAATTTAATGTAATGCAAATCAGTTTAACTAATGCAATAGTTATCAGCTTCTTCTAATTCAGGAGAATAATGCAAACTAAAACTACATAAAAATTCACAATCTTTAATTAGGGGTATAACATGGCATTCTCCTGCTGTTTGGACAGCAAAATGCTGCTGTATTCAACATTACACACAGGAACAGCAACCACATACACAAGCACAGACACACAGGTTCTGTACAGGAGCTGAACTCAGCCCAGAGTCAACAATAACAACCAGATCGTCTGCGATGATCCTGTGAAAAAGATCTGCAGGCTGGAGGAAAATGTGGAGAGATGAAAGGAGCGATGACCAATTGGGGAGATATGAGAGAACAAAAAGTTATCGTCACAGGCAAACCGAGCAGTTCTGATAAGAGCTGAATAAAAAACAAGGGGGGGAATGATTCTGTTCATAAACTCTCCTAAGATTTTACACACACACACACACACACACACACACACACACACACACACACACACACACACACACACACACACACACAGATCTAGGCTGTGTTGGCCTTGAGCGAGGAAACGAGAAGCAGAGCTTCAACCCACACGTGTGCACACCGCTCAGGATTTCCTCTGTGATAAACATGAACTCTGTAACTTCACAAAAGAACAGGCTCAATGAAACTTTACACCAACCAGCTGGAAAAATTACAACAACATGATGTGATGTAATGGAAATCCGCAACTCTCAGGGTTAGCTATGCAACCAAAGACGCTGCCCAGGACTCAACTGCCTGTCAGCAACAGGCCTCTGTATACCAGCCACAGTACAGACTGGGAGGAAGTCAAAGTCATCGATTAGAAGTAAAAAACAAACGGAGGAATGTTCTCATCACCTGAAACGAGACATCGCTGACCTGTAAGTGCGTTTCCATCTATTGGTTTTATGCACATTTTGAGGTTTGACTATTATTTTAATCTTTTAAATGATCTCAGGAGAATTAGCACCACCAGCTGTTTATAACAAAGCATGGTTGTGGGCGGAAATCCGGCTAAAATGTGGGCAACATTTGGATGCAGTTTGTGCCTTTTGCTAATTGCATTATGCGCAACGATGCCAAGGCTTCATTCCAGCCATGAATATTTATGTAACCGGGGTTTATAAATACAAGAAAACCTGTAGTCATTCATCATCCCTTAGCTGTGAGTTCCACGTTTTCTGTATTCAGTCCACAGAAAGAGTGTGAGTGAAGCAAGAAATGAAGCAGCAGAGATACCTGACAGGTAGTAAATTATCAGTTCTTGCAGACAAAAGTCTTTGCTGTGGGTATAAAGCCCTCAGGGATGGTGACAAAGACCGAAACACAATGACTCTCAACTGGGTCACGTACCCATCTTTATTCCTCACACAGGCCATTATTGCTTTGATGGCTACAAATGCACAAATGCATACATTTTATTGTGAGGCAAGAGGTCACACACGTAATTGCAAAAGCAAGGCACACAACTGCAGCAAGGGCAGGAAAATACATGCCCGGACCCCTGAGACAAACTCTGATACCCAAAGAGGGGAGAGAGGGGGCTGTAGTCTATTCCAGCTACTACAGGACGAGAGGCGGGTACGCCCAACATAACCCCACCAACTGCACCAGTCCAGAGCCCACACAGACACAAGGAAAACATGCAAACTCCACACAGAAAGGACCTGGCCAGCTGCTGGAATCAAACTCAGGACCTTCTTGCTATGTGGCAACAGTACTAACCACCGTACCAACAAAAATACAAAATACAGCCCACACGCAAACAAATTCAACTAGGGCCAAAGTGAAGGAATGAAGGGAGAAAAGGAATGCAGAAACAAACTCACGGGGAAATGGCTGAAAGTGCGACTGAGGTTCAAAGAAGACCTGGCAAAGCAAGAAAGAAAAGCATGGGAGCAGATATATACTGGGGGAGTGCCCGGCTAATTAGAAACAGACACGGCAGAAAATAAAAACACGGGAAGGAGAAGAGCTAAACAGGCCTGCTCGGTTATGATGAAAATCATCGAACAGTAGTAGAGGATTTATTAAACTTTTTTTTTTTTAAGGGCGTCGTCCCATCAGAGCAGCGAAGGAGCTGGATGTAGGCTGGGTGGAGCTGGCGGGGGGGGACTCTGTGTCTGCCGGTGCATTATCTTCAGAGCTGGATACCAGCCGTGCCAGCGTGAAAACAAACCTGTCTCCGCCAGAGCATTCAGTCCTGGGCTGTCAGGGAAATGCACAAATGGGTTTCTGTGGCAGCAGCGAGCCAGTTTTTCACTTTCATGTTTGCGCCGTGTTTTCGACATGAATTGAAGCTGCTGGAAACCAACTTCCACCCTGCTGTAGCGCTGGCAGAATGTCCTGCCCTCCCAGTTTTGCAGGGAAACGGTGTGCTGGGAAAATCGCATTCAGTCCTTTGGCAGGTATGCTTAAAAACTTTGTGTGAAAATTCTCCAGACAGGAAGAGGAAAGAACAGAAATGCCCACTAAATAACATCGTCCCAGCATCCTGACAGGTCACAATGAATTTCTGATTGACGAATGGTCATATTTGCTTCTCCTGCTGAGGTTTAAAACACATTACCATTCTCAGGATAGTTTGTACAGGCTAGCAAGCCTCTGCAGGGCCTTGATCCTTTTGAGACGTATTACTAAACGTTCTCAGAAATACTTTAAATAAGCTGTGGTGGTTATTTTTTCATCATTTAATTTAAAATGATAAACTTCATTTTCTTTTTCCTTTACATGTAATATACTGAAGCATCTTTTTTGTTTTCATTCAGATGATTTTGGCTCATAGGTCATTAAAATAAGAAATCCAGTGCCTCTAATTATTAGAATATTTCTTAAGATCATTCAAAGGAAGGTTTGACAATAGAGACGTGTCCAGTTTCATTTCATTTATACACTCAGTACTCGGTTGAGGCTCCATTAACAGAATTACTGTATCGGTGTAGTGGTGTGTGGAGTTGATCAGGTCAGGGTGCGTCTGCTGAGGTGTTACTGATGTCCAGGTTGCTTTGATAGATCCTCCCTGGGATTCAGGCCAGGCGAGTTAGCCCAGCAATAACACGGTCAGCAAACCATCCATATGCAAAAAGTTCATCATCAGCTGGAAGCAGAAAGAGCTCTAAAATCTTCTGGTTGACTTTAGACTTGATAAAACGCCGTGGAGCACCAACAGCACCAACTCTTCACAGACTGTGGAAACTTCACTCTTCAGACTTTAACATCGTAATTTCAAAATAAAATACAAAACTGACTTTAATCTGAAAAGAGGACTTTGAACCACTGAGAAACAGTTCAGTCTTTTTTCTCCTCAGTCCAGATAAGATACTGTGACGGTGTCTCTGCGTCAGCAGTGGTTTGATATCAGGACTGAAACTGTTGTAGGTCCTTTCCTGAAGACATTTGTGTGTAGTGGCTCTAAGATACTGACACCAGCCTCCGCTCACTCAGCTGAAACTCTCCAAAGCTCTTGAATCGACTTGTCATCACAATCCTCTCAATGCTGCGGTCATCCCGGTTGCTTCTGCACCTTTTCCTACCACAGTTTTCCCTCCCAGTCAACTTTCCGTCGATATGCTTCGATGCGGCTGTGAGCGGCCGGCCTTTTCACCAACCTCCTGTGGCTTTCCCTCCTTGTGGAGGATATCTGTCAAGTCAGCAGTTTTCCTAATGTCGTGGTAGCTGGTATGGTCTGGATCGAGAGATACTGGTAATTACAATTCAAACAGTATGAATACCAGTAACTACGTTACTTCCTTCAGTTTATCGTGTTGGTATGGCAGAAAAAAATCAGATAAGTAGAAATAAGAACAAAAGCATGACACATCCTGGTCTCATGGTTTGATTCCAGCTGTTATCTGGCCATTGGCACATGAAGCATGAGGATCATCAGTATAACGGTGTCTTTAAATGTGTCAAAAGGAAATAAACGGAGACACTACAAAAACTGTTACTGATGAGACAGATTTTGTTAAATCATTACAGAATGTGCTGAGTTTGTGCAGGCGTCAAGGTCACGAGACTCAAAAATATTTTTCAATGAAAGTATGAAAACTGAAAAAGGAGCAGTAGGGGGGGGAAAGCGCAGCAGAAACAAAACAAAAAGAGAAAACTGGCTGTCAGGAGAATGACAGCAGAACTGCCACAAACACACACAGTAAGTTACAAACTCCACTTACAAACTCAAAGAACACAAGAAAAAAGGACCTTGAGCTGAACACTGCCATCAACATCTTACTGTGAAGCTCAAAGATGAAACGCTACGTCCAGATTCTCTCGGTAGAGAACATCTTTTATTAACTGCTGACTCAGTTTTAGTCAGAAAAAACTACAGGACAGTTTCTGTTTTAAGTTCAGCTGCTGTTTTTTTTTTAGTCTGGGATTCAAGGACCTTCAAGGGGTCTGAGGGGGATTTGAGGTCTCCCACAAAGTATTGAATCCTTTATGTTTATTATTCTGCTTATTATTTTATTATTCTGTTCTTGATGAGGTGAAAAAGGGGGAAAATATATAAGAAACAAGGCTCTGATGGGAGCTTTAGTTTTTATATGCAGCTGTCTCAGAGTCCATACTGTGCTTTGCATAATAAAATAAACTTTTATTAACTTCTTGGGTTGAAAGATGTCATTTGTACCTGATTAAGTTTCATATAATGTTTAAAACAATGTTTAATTAAGCAATGATCTGGATTAAATGTGTGTGAATATTAACCCTGTCCTGATTGTCTATTTGGTCCCATATGAAAGACGAATAACTAGAAACGTTGTAACAGTAAGCACACACCACGACTTGGCGAACATAACAAAATTGGACACTTCGGGAAAAATCTAAATTTTAGAGCGGTTGGGTTGTTTTGGTTTGTCCAGAAGAGTCCGATTTCGTTAGGAGTGTCGAGACCTGCTAACAGAAGCTTTGTATTTTTGTATACACTGTCTGGATTAGCTAAAGCTGCCTTGACGAGGGTCTTCCACCTTTGCTAAAGGAGTTTGTAGTTTACTAAAGGTGTCGTGAATAACTGTAAGGCGTCATTAGATAAAGCTGCAAAGGGCCACACAGTGGACAGCTGAATGTAAACCTCTTTGACAGACGTGACAGAAAGCCTGTTTTTTCAGCTTGAGGCTTGAATTCATGTTTAAAAATGTTCCCTTTCAGTTGAAACTGACTTAAACAGCTTTACAGACTCACTGCAGTCGTTGGCCTTCACATTAATGACACAGCGCTAACTGCTAATGATCGTTTTATTTTCCCTGTAGGACGCCGTGTGCCACGCCGAGACCAAAAGTTAGACTATTATGTCAGCACTGCGCCAAGTCACCTACCTTTACTGTGGTGGTGGTGGTGATGGTGGTGGCGGTGGTGGTGGGAGGAGGAAATGTGAACATGCTGGGCCAGCACGTCAGCCAGCCTGCCGGCCGCTGCCCCGCTCCCGCCGCTGCGTGTGGAGGACGAGGACGAGGAGGCTGTTGACGAGGTGGTGGTGGTGGAGGAGGTGCCGTGGATTGCCCTGCTGATCCAGTGCTCCATGCTAATGCTTCCTTCCTGGCTGGACGAGGTTCCTCCGCCGCCTCCTCCGTCTTCTTCTTCACCTTCTCCTCCCTCTTCTTCATCACCGTCCCCCTGACCTTCGCCCTCTGAGCCTGAGGAGGTGTCTGAGGAAGAGAGAAGATGAGGATGGACATTAGGGTTGAAGTTTTATCCAAACCGTGGGGAAAAAAAGGATCTTTCCAAACACCGGTGCAAACAGAGGTGTCGATGTGTAAGCCCTACTCCCCCCCTCTGGGTAAAGTCGCTGCAGGGGAGGAACACAAACTTGTTTGTGCGTGTGAAAGCTAAAACGTGTGTGCGTACACGGGTGTGTGCTTCTGCAAGTTTTGCATGGCATTTCCATAATGCCCACGGCGTTATGAGGCTAGTAGTGGTGATATGAATAACAACAGAAGCTGACCTAGTTCTCACACACACACACACACACACACACACACACACACACACACACACACACACACACACACACACACACACACACACACAAAGGTACTCGATTAGTGTGCACGTGTGTGTTTTCTCGCAGGGCAGATGCAGAGAGAAGGTAACTGTGCGACTGACGAGGAAAGTCCAACAATAAAAAAAAACCAAAAAAATTGAAAATTCAAATATTTCAACCCAAGAGTGTTACTATGAGACGTTTGATCTTTTTAACTATAAATGGCTCCTTACCCGATAAAGGGTTAAACTGGTTTGCTGCGCTCCAGTGTGACTGACTTTAGTACACACACATATGCAGCTGGGACTCTGTACCTGTGCAACAGGTGAAACCATCTGGGAACCTGAAGTTTAAGTCAAAGCCTTTACTTTGTCATTTAGCTGCGTTCATCTTCACATTTATGAAGTTGATGCTTTGGTTTGTTTTTCTTGTTTTAATAACCACATGGAATCAGCTGCTGAAGTTGGTCAAAGTGAAACCAAAACACCTGGTAAATTTAGAGCAACAAACAACAACGAGGACTAATGTTTGTTTCCAGTATTCATTCTGCTTTTAGCTCTGGGCGACCGGTGAAGAGCTTCCCGTCTGCTGTTGGGTGAGAAGCGGGTGGTGAACCAAAACAATGAGATGAATGAAAGATGCTAAATATCAGCTGCACATTTGCTTAGTATTTTATAAAGTTAGTCACTAAGAGTGACATCTTTCACGTTACATGCTATGATGCATGTGTAAGAATTTGGTAGCGTGGCAACGTTAGCAAAACTATAATGAATCAGACTCTCTAAAGCTCGTGAGGAGCAACCTTCGTGTAATCTTAGGTGAAAAGTAAACACAAGATTTCAGCTGTTTCCTTAAACTAAAGTTAAATCTTATCTGGATAAGATTTACATTACCATTCGAACTCGTGCAGATTATATAGTAATTTTCCCTGACACTGATCTTAGTACAATAAATGTTTCAGTGTAAGACATCAGAGTTTCGTCACTGCTCCTGTGTTAGTAAATCAAATCTTAAAAGATCAATAAGAAGCTTAACATGAAAGCATGTCTACACAAATCCTTTGTATGATATACAGAGGGGAGATCCTCAATTTGGTCTCAGGCACTGTGAACACAGAAGCCTCCAACACCCACCATGCAAACCTTTTGTTAGTGAAGACAGGATAAAACTGATTTAAAGGTGAAGAGGGCTTAATCAGCTTGTGTCAAACAGTGCACTGCAGGAGGAGCTGCAAAGCTTGAGTCAAATAATATAAATATGTAGAGTTTGATGACCAAACTGTGTATTTCTTAAAAAGAAGAAGAATTGAATTTGAAAGCAGAAAAAAAAAAGAAAATCAGTGTACTAGAGCTTTTATGGTGTTTTTTTTTTTTTGCTTTTACAATTTAACGTGTGCAATCAAGACTTTGAAAGTCAGCATATTTGTCATTGATACAGCTGACAGCACTAGAAAACACCATGTGACTGGATGTAGTCTTCCCATGATGCTTTGTGCTAACACACTTGATTAATGAATGTGGATCTTGTTATCCTGCTCATAGCGAGATGGGGAGACTTCCAGTGACAAAATATATTGAAAGCGCAACGCTGCCAGCTGACTTACGAAGCAAATACTCAGAAAAATGCAGAAAGAGAAACGAGAAAGTGACACAAAGCGGTTCCACAGAAATATATTTCACGATGCGTTGGAAAAATTAAGAAAATGCAGCTGTGAAAATCAGTCAAAACCCGATGAGAGCACATCAGAGGCCTCTCTCACTTGTCATCTCCGCACGATACGACACGCTGCTCAGCAACACACGACTCGGCTGTCCTCGCATGAACCTCGCTGGCTGACAGAAATGTGTGTGTGGCTGCGTGCGCACAAGTGCCTGTATGTGTGCGACTGCCTTTAATGCTCCCACAAGGTCTTTCTAAATCTGCACGATGAATTATGTGCAGTTTGTGTGTCATGTGTGCAGCTTGTTTATCTTCATTTGTGCACAACAGTAAAAATACCCGGAAATCACGTAGACGTGTGTTTGTGTGTAGTATTATGAACATTCTTGCAGAAAAAGCGTATGCACATTTGAAGCATGTGGCATGTGAGTCTTGCAAAAAGTCTGCTCAACAAAGGTTTCATTGCCATTTTGAATTTTGAATTATAAAACTTGAGCTGGGTTAAGATTCTGTTTCAGTGAAACTGTGGTCAGCAGTTATCATCATCAGTCTGGCATGCATCAATGCTAGCTAACTAGCATTAAGTCAATACTGGACTCTTTCCATAAGATTCAATACAAACAGGTATTTTGCATCCAAAGCCATCATCCCCTAAAGCACAGAGGTCCATTGTTTGTCCAGGAACTGCTAAAAACACAGTGAGTTACACTGTTGCACTGACTGATGTGTTCTTTTCAGAAGTCATAATTTACTTCGACTCGGTCCTACATATATCGTCCTGCTGCCCCAAATAATCACTCAAGCAGTAAATGTGTGTTAATCCATCACTACAAATAGTCCTCAGCTGTTTGGGGAAATCACCGAGCATTTTTCTCTTTTTTCTTTTTTGCCAGGGAAAAAAAACAAAACAATTTGTTGAAAGATTTGTGTATTCAGCAGGAAGCAGTGGGACTGCCAAAGATAATCATAGGAGTGCCTGAGCTAGAGAGAGCCAGAAAGCACTGAGCAAATATAGAATAATGCCAGATGTCCCAATTAATTTTATGACTTTTTTTTAAAACCAAATATTCATCTGTTGTTTAAGATACAGAAAACCCACAGACAAGGTAAACAGCAATGACATCATCTTTCTTGCAGATTTTTAAGTTTTTGTTTTCTTTAAAAGGGTACAGTTTATAAAATCGCACCACTAGATGTCAGAAGATTGCAGATCGCAGAGTTTCTTCTATATTTCCTAGCTATGGTGGCTGCCGTGAGACAAAAAAGGCTTACAGCCGTTTATCTCTAGTGAATGTAGACCGGCAGTCCGCTGTTTATCTCAGATGGTGTTCACGTCTATTTACTCTGGAGGAGGACGAAAAACTGATATGAGTGAATGAATCAGTGAAGCTCACCCCTGCAAGTGACAGCAATACTGAGTTGAGCTGTTGAGGATATCCTGTGCTTTTCTCTCAAAGCGCTACTGTTTTTGTTGCTAATAGCTGCCGTTAGCCTCTGTTAGCCTCTGTTAGCTGCTGTTAGCCTCTGTTAGCTGCTGTTAGCCTCTCCCAAACATTGCTGGACTTGGACAGACAATAAATTCTCACACAATGTGAGAATGTAATGTATTTATTTATTTTTTTTATCAGAGTGAAAGATTGATTTTTAGGATTAAAAACATGTTACCCTATAACTGGCTGTTGGTACTGCCAGTTGTCACCTGTCTAAAGACGGGCGGGTCTAATGTGCTGACAATAAGTAATTGTGACAGTATTGGGAATAAATATTCATGTTTATGCACGTTTTTATTTGTTAGAGCCCTGACTTGAGTTCAGGAGATGAAGTGGATGATTAGGTGGAACTGTGACGTGCATCTCAGCCAGTATTTTCAAGATGGTGGGGGAATGTGGCGGCTTCCACAAACAGACACCTGCTCCTTTTTATATTTAATGGATTAATTCTAAGTTTATGAGAAAATGCATCAGTTTGTTGGATAATATAATTCCACAGTAATCAATGTATATTTGTGAGTCTGTTTTTCGATGAAATAACCTCAAAAAATGAATGAATGTACATTTAAAGGTTATTTTCTACATGTTTTCCTATTAAATATTGTGGGAAGTAAAGACTTAAATCTATTTACGCTTCTAAAAATTGGCACCAGAATTAAGATTTAATAATAGTCAGATACCACGTTACATTCACCCACCTCATACTAGTTAAATATTGACACTCAGCTGCCTTCAGTGGTTGGCAGGAGTCTATGGGTGTTTTGTACGTGCTGACATCTTTCTATCATGGCCACCAACTTGTGCTTAAGCGAGCCCGGCCTTTACAGCCATGCACCTCAAAGAGCCTGGACGCTTCATCACCCTGTCACCAGTTAACCTGTTTTAAGTCCAATGACAACCTTTGGTAAGTAATAACCCCTAAATACAACAAACATCCAACAAGTGCTGTCATTTAGAAGATACCCTAACCCCGTCATTCAGCAATTACATTTTCACCCTGATCAAAGTCAATCAGACACTTGCCCATTCCCAAGCTTCCAATGAAACTAGATGCACTGATTGTTATTTTACCACCTAGAGCCCAACACATAACAGGTGCCTCTGTAACAACATAATCAGAGTTATTGATTTAACTATCAGGGGTTTCAGTGTTGTGATTGGCTGCTGTGTATTCAAAGAGGAATTAACTGAATAAAACTGATTTATGTAACAAGTTTTTACCATCAATGTGTTGCTGTACATCACAGGACATAGTATAGAATAGAATAGAATAGATGTGTATTGTTATTGTATATGTACAACCAAATTATGGGTGCTCCACACCAACTGTGCAGGAATAAAATATAAATAGTAAGACAGCAGCAATACATAATACACAGGAGAAATATATGCAATCAGAGGGATATATACAAACTAGAGGTGGGGTGTGAGGGCATGGATCCATCTGCTTCTAATTTTGGTTAAGATGGGCTGTTAAGGAGAGCTGAAGAGTGAGAGGGAGAATGAAGGGAAGAAATAAAAAGAATATGTTGGATGAAGAGCAAGGACAAGGGAAGCCTGAGAGGGGGCAGCTGGAGATGCGAAAATAGTAAAATTGGTGTGTCCATTCAAACAAACAAACAAAAAAACTGAAAATAATGAAGTGATAATGAAGTGGATCGCCATGAGGAAGCAGCCTTTGGACATTCTGCTTCAACTGATCAAAACGAGGCTCCTTATTTACGTCTTTCACTGCTGTAGTTCTTCTCAGAGCTGTTAGTGTAAATCATGTCTCGTTGCTCAGTGAAGCTCAACCCTGCAGCCAAAGATATAATGGCCTCATTAACACTCTCATTAAACAACACCAGTGGAATAAAGACATGGACGACTGCCACCTTCGCCAAAGGACACATCCTAGTTTGCATGCTACGGGGACACCAGCGCCTCTGTGAAGCATCCTTTAAAAACAAGCTCCATCTATCATGTATTCACATAGAGCATTCCCAATGTTTACTGGAGAAATGCTTTGTGAGGGAGAAAGAAAATCTGTGGCCATCGTATTCCGGGAATGAGTCCGGGCATTTCATACGCCATCAACACTCCACTAACTGAAAAGTCCAATCACAGATATTTGAAGAGGCAACAAATGGGATTTATAGAGTTGTTGCTCCCTGCATCGATGCTAACGCTCAGAAGATAAAACCCTGTGGGCCAAACAGAGTCCTGCACAAACAAAACAGGAAAACTAATCTATACTGCAAGGTTTCTGTAATCTTCAAAACAGACATGGAGCAACAAGTAATTCATATGGCAATACATCACGATGGATCCTCTAGCAATGCATTATCGTTAAATGACAGAAAATGCAATACTGCCGTCCTTAATGTATGGCAGTGATTTAAAATGAAGCTTCTGCCCTTTGTTAGTCTGTGACTGTTTGACATTATTGAAATATGAGCTTATTGCCCAAACTTTAATGGAGGTGTGAAGGGAGTGACATTAACTTTAGCCGAGGCAACTAAACATAGGGGATATTTTGGCTTGACTCGATAATTAGTGTGTTTCTGGTGATATTATAAATATGGGATTTGGAAAGAAAACCAATCAGTGTATGCAATAAATAGCTCTGTCAAACAGGTAATACTGGGCACTGTTTTACCTTGTTTTCAGCTGTTAGTGTGTTTTACAGCTAACACAAGGCTTTTTTGAATATATATTATAAGATATTTCTCATTTATCGGAAACATGAAAACTGTTTGTATTTGTGTAGTTATGCTGAGGTTATATTGACCAGAAGCATTAAAGATTTTAGAGTAACCATGGTATCTAAGGCAATAAACGATCCACACAAATGATTCTGTATTTCAGACCCATTCACCGTCTCCAATGTCTAATGCTGCTGAGTGTAACACAGCTGTACTTCATAAATCTGCTCATTAAGAATTTAAAGATTAACCCATAAAGAACGATTGAACTGTAAAAACTGAAATTACGATACAATGAGAGATTATTGTGCCGGAAAAGTGATATTTTGCATCAATCATCCAGAATGAATGATCGCCGTCCTCTGCATTGCTAAAGACGTCTTCCAGCTGACCAATCTGATGCGAGAACTTAGAGAAATCTACTTTCTAATGAGCAAAATAAAGTGGTTCACGTTTCCTGCACTGCTGTTAGCTTACAGAGCACCCATCCGTCTCCAGGTTTTATAGAAGATGCTGACACGTCAGTCAATGACGGCTCGTCCTATCCATTCATTACCAATGTCACTACCACATGGAGATCGATACTGCAGCTACTCCTCTGCTCTTGGGGGATTTCTTCTGTTTAATATTAATGCAAACTGATCTTTTCTTTATTTTTGGTAAATGATTAAAATTTAAAAATCATCGTGCATCAACATAAACGGAAATCACATTTGCAAATGAGCATGGCGGTTTGCCAGCTGCTGCCAGAGTCAGTCAATGACAGAGTAACTCGACTGACAGCTTGAATCCCAAAGTTGGCAGATGTGACAGATGGCGGGCTATAACGTGACATTTCACGGGCTTTTCATTTCAGGCCTAAAGGAGACACCTTCTGAGAAAACCAGCGTAACTTACAGACGATAGAAACGGCACAAAACAGCCTCTTCTGCAGAGAGACAGAGCCAGAATAAACATGAAGCCACTGAATATATGAGATAGCATCTATAGATATTTACATTCTGTCTCTTTGTGAAAAACATTGCTGACTTTGATTTTGATCAATTTTTTGCTGATATTCTGTAGTGATGGAGGATAAATCTTACCAACTATATTTCCTGCGGTGCCACCAACATGTCAGAAACTAACCTTGCCCCGTGTTTAAACACAACACATCAAAACTTCCTGATCTTTTAGATGAAGTTTCTTCTTCTTTCAGCTGCTCCCTTCAGGAGTAACCACATCGACTCATCTGCCATATCCCTAACACCCTCCTCTGCATGTCCTTCTCTACATCCATGTACCTCCTCTGAAGCCTTCCTCTTTTCCTCCTGCCTGGCAGCTCCATCTTCCATCCTTTATCTAGTATATTAACTTTTCCATTAGTACTTACAACCAAACAAAGTGTACCGTTTCTGCCTCAGTATTGGTAGAGTAAAAATAAACTTTTTTTTTATATCAATAGTACACAAAGATTTCTTTCTGTTTTCTCCTGAGAGTTTGAGCCTCACAAGGACACAGCTCCTGCTGTTTGAGCTTCGTTTGGTTCTTTTCATTAGTTGGTATTATTGAAAAACCAGCTGAACTCCTGGTATTGTCAGAATTCATTCACAATATGCACACAGTCAGGATCAGGCAATGAAAACTAATTATTAAAATGATCATTTTCGTTCATTGGCTTCAAATGTGAAAGTTTAGTGTGTCCTTTACCTGGTGGTGTGTAGGCGTCCATGGAGCTCTGGACCACAAGCGACCGCCTCTTCGAAGGCATCGGCACCGCCATCTTTCTTTCTTTGTGCTTTGCCAGGGCTGCCTGCACCGCCTCCGTGTGCACATCTGGAAACATATGCAGGACATATAAAAAGTCTCTGTTAGATCCTTCTCATTCACAGTGATATAATGAATAATCACATAATCAGAGATGTTTTTTAAAACTACACTTCAGTGAGCTAACTCAGTGTTAGCTGTTGAATTCCTTTTTGTCGGCACAAATGAAAATTACTCTGCAGATACTCAAAGGGTGCTTAAGATTTGGTTATCCAAAATAAGAGGTTACTGGTTTCCCCCAGCATTTAATGCTTCTGTATAATACAAAGTGAGAATTGTGAATTTAAAAGCTATACACTATATATTTTTTTCCCCAAACTACTCCTAGACCAACGTACCGTCAAACATCAGGGCTGGAGAGCAGCCGACTGATGTAACTGGGAGAGGATGAATTAATACATATATTATATATGTATTATTATGTATAACTGTAGCAACAGGCTAAATTTACCCCTTATTAGCATTTAAGTTCCTTAAAAAAAAGCATTCTATAATATTTAGTTACATAATATCACATTTAAAAAAGGTTTAATTATGCATCATATGTTATCATGCATGCACTAAGAGCTCTGATGTCCAGTGCAAACATACAAATTAGATGGAGTCCACCCTGCAGCAGCAGCACACAGAGACAGAGCAGCAAACAAGAGCAGGACTATCCTCTGTGTTTCTCTGTGTTTGTGCTGCACGGTTCTCTTTACAACGAGCACCATGTTCCCATTTATTCTCATTCAGTTTACGTGCACAAACATTCCCAGCCTGACAGCAGCTCCCATGAGGCCCTGTGGTTTCTGACTGGATTAGGTGCAGGGCGTGTCGGCGAAGATGTTTCGTAAATTGGTGTTTTTAAGAGTGAGATAGAGTGCTGCATACAGAGCCACAGCTGGGTTTGTTTGAATGGTGCCCACTGCCAAAAAAAGGCAAACGCCACAAACGCCGACACAGAGCAAACGGGCGTTTGGCCCGATAGTGACATATTAAGACATTAGTCAGAACGAACAGGGCTCACAGACGTCCGGTTGTTTGGCTTGTGGATGTGCTTATATAAGGGGAACAGAGGTAATTTAAATCTCAAGTGCACATTTATTGTCTCCCGGTTGACTGAGTGTGACTGTGCAGTGTGTGAAAGCGAGCATGTGGCATTTAAAGGTGCTCACATGGCTCTTCTTTTTCAGTTCACTGGGTTAAACGGGTTTTGTCAGGATTTATTATGCATCAGATCAAACTTTAATAGCTTCAATTCTCCAACAGCTTGTAGGGACATAATAATAAAGTAAGCCCAGTTCCACCACCTGTCAAGGAATTCAAGCTTTACAACACCACATTGTTTCTTTTCTTATTGGTTTCCTGTCTATCTGTATTACCATCGCTTGATGTCAGTAGAACAAATTCCTACAAATTACTTTTGAATAAGACGCCACTGAAAAGATTGAAATCCTGAGTTAATCCTGTATTAATCTTTAGTCAACACCAGATGGAACGAAACTGAACCGCATCTTACAAGAGCTGTGGAAGATTTGTCAGGAGCTCATTGCATAGATGTAAAGCAAACACTGGATTTGTTGTAGCTCGTTCTGCACGTAGCAAGAAGACTCAAGATATCAACGAAGATGTGGTTTTCCTGATGTCTGAGAAAGTCATCAGAGCTGGTAGCAAAATACTTCAAGACCTTCAGAGGCCAAAATCTATCCAAAAACCACCAAACACTAATCAGTTTTGCCTGATCTGAAATACAAGTACATGTATTTGCATAAAAGAAGTAATATGAAGTATTAAGTTATAGCAATTATTAAACCTGATTTCATCAATGATATTTAAATTTATTCAGTCAAGAACTGATGGAGCACCTCTTCAACCTGAGCCTGAGGTTGGGAAGAGTCCCACAGCTCTGGAAAACCTCCTGTGTTGTACCAGTGCCAAAGACTTCACGCCCCAAGGACCTCAACAGCTACAGGCCGGTGGCTCTGACATCCCACCTGATGAAGACCCTGGAGCGGTTGGTCCTGGCTCAGCTTCGGCGCCTAACAAGCTCATCACTGGACCCACTTCAGTTTGCCTACCAGCCTGGCATTGGAGCGGATGATGCCGTCATTCACCTCCTACATCGTTCCCTCGCTCACCTGGAGACCGCTGGAAGCACTGTGAGAATCATGTTCTTTGATTTCTCCAGTGCCTTCAACACTATTCTTCCCTCGGTTCTAAAGGACAAGCTGGAGAACTCTGGAGTGGACCATCACCTCACTACCTGGATCCTGGACTACCTCACCGACCGACCACAGTATGTGAGGCTCAGGGCTGTGTGTCGGACAGGGTCGTCTGCAGTACGGGGGCCCCACAGGGAACGGTTCTGGCTCCGTTCCTCTTCACCATCTACACTGCAGACTTCTCCCACAATTCCACCCAGTGCTTCCTGCAGAAGTTCTCTGATGACTCTGCAATAGTCGGCCTCATCACTGATGGGGACGACAAGGAGTACAGAGGTCTGACCCAAGACTTTGTGGACTGGTGACAGCTGAACTACCTCCAGATCAAGACCAGTAAAACCAAGGAGCTGGTGGTAGACTTCCGCAGGCACAAGCATCCTCCACTGCAACCACTGAACATCCAAGGTATGGACATTGAGGCTGTGGACAGCTACAGGTACCTTGGTGTTCATCTGAACAACAGACTGGACTGGACTCATAACTCAGACGCCCTCTACAGGAAAGGGCAGAGCAGGCTGTACCTGCTGCGGAGACTCAGGTCGTTTGGGTGGAGGGCCCACTCCTGAAGACCTTCTATGACTCTGTGTGGCTTCTGCTATCTTTTATGGTGTGGTCTGCTGGGGCGGCAGCATCTCTGCTGGGGACAGGAAGAGACTGAACAGGGTGATCCGAAGGGCCAGCTCTGTTCTAGGATGCCCTCTGGACCCAGTGGAGGTGGTGAGTGACAGGAGAACGGCGGCTAAGCTGTCATCCCTGTTGGACAACATCTCCCACCCCATGCAGCAGACTGTGACAGCACTGAGCAGCTCCTTCAGTGGGAGACTGCGGCACCCACGGTGTGGGACAGAGAGATTTTGCAGGTCTTTCCTCCCCACTGCTGTCAGACTCCACAATAAAGACTTTAACTGATCAAGCACACACATCCATACATATGCAATAATACTAAGTGCAATAATCCTTTCTGTCATCGTTGTATTTTTACTCAGTTGTATATAGTATTTGTATTTGTATTCTATTTTTATCTTATTGTATATTTATTTTATTTTATTCTACTGTATATAGTATTTTATTCTATTCTGTACAGCTGTGTACTGTATTTATTCTTATTGTATTCTAATTTTTGCGTCATAACTTTTGCACTGTCCACTTCCTGCTGTGACAAAACAAATTTCCCACGTGTGGGACTAATAAAGGTTATCTTATCTTATCTTATCTTATCTTAACTCCAAATTATAATCAGTCGACTTTACTGGAAGAAGCTGGGAAGTCCTTCAGTTTAAATCTACCTTTCACTTCTCTAACAGTCGTGAACAAATATTTCTCTGTGATTGATGACATCATAACTATTTTTCAATTAACCTGGTCTGTGTGAGGGGAAAAAATGAGGCATATTTGAAAGATAACAGGGACACAACTAAATGCCAACAAGGTCAGAGGTCAAAACCTGCCTCTCACCTGATCGGTAACGTTCGTCTCTGGAGCCAGAAGACCGCCGGCGGTGGTAGCGGGAGGACGACGACGGGGTGACGGGCGTTCTCCTCTCCTGGCCCATGGACGGATCCATTCCTAAGGCACAGGGATGCTGATTAAAATTGTATCTAATGACATAAACAATCGTCACATTACATTTTGGCGAGAGATCTCAAGGCACCTGGTGTTTTGCATGCTCGCTGACTGACAAGGATTAATGAGAAGCAGCTATTAACAAATGGAAGCCTGGTAATAAACTTGATTACACCTGCTACCACCAGCCCAAATGTCAGCTGTGAAAAAGTCTATCAAGGTGATTCTCTCCACTGTTGGTCACAAACAAATATTCATGAGTGGTTGGAATATTGTTTTAAAAATAGTCATAACCCGAGAACACATGAAACACCATCAGCCACAGACTGGCCTCCCCAGAGCAGAGAAAGCGGCCGATTCATGGAGACTACTTCAAGAAAGGAAAAGAAGGTTTGTCTACAAGATTTCAGGCTGTGTTGAAGAATAAAAGTGGTCAAAAAATATTGACTTTGACCTTGTATAAAACACTGATTTTGTCTTATATACTGTATTCCCATGAATGTTTGCACAGTTCAATAAATCGCTACTCCCATTTCTTTTCGAGAAATGGCAGGTGGCTCAAGACTTTTGCACAGTAAGCAAAATATGTCGTCTCAGTCGACACAACAATTTGTGATTCAAAAAGTAAGAGTCCTCAGATGTAAATCATCACACTTACTTTAAGCAAGACTGGCTTTAGTTATTTTATCACAACACAGTTATTAGTCTCCTAAAGAAAATCTGTATCAGAAATCAGAAAAAACTAGAAGCATTTTAAAACTTCTAAATCTAAAACATACACAACAGATCAGTCTTGGTTCACACTTGTGCACACACACATATCTTTAAGCATGCACAAACACACTCACTCAGAGAAAACAACCTCCCTACACAGCAATCAATAAGTCTGATGATAATAACCACCCTGTTACTGACAGCTACAACCGATCCACAGCCGGTGATCTATGACCATCTATCTCAGCTTCATACTTCTACCCTCGTCTGTCTTCATTAGAGCTCTCAGCGTGGCTCAGAGTGCCGCTGTTGCTCAGGCGAAAAGCTAAAAGTTGATTAGCCAATCATTAACGACTACCAGGCAGCACAGGAATAAACGACAGATCTGGAAAACACCTCGCCTTCTTGTTTCCTCTGGGGAACCGAGAAGGATGGATTTCCCTTTCTCCCGATTCAGTCAACTAGCTCTTTGTCCTGCTTCCTTTCCTTATACTCGTTCTGCACACAGACTGCACAGCTGTCTATTTGGCTGCTAAAAACAGGCTATACAACTGTTCAACAGGCTGTTTTATGTAACGCCAAACCTGTTACATATACAATAACGGAAAAGCTCAAAAATGCAAACCAAAAACGAACTGAAGCTCAGGATTCAGAGCAGGTCACCTGCTGATCTGAAGGTTGGTGCTTCGATCCCCATCTGCTCAAGTCTGTCTGCAAAGATACTTATAACCCCAAGTTTGCTTTCTGATGCCTCGATCGGAGTTTGAATGTTAGATAGAAAGAACTTACACACGCAAAGCACAAAACAAAGTGTTTATATAAATGTGGAAAGTAGTATGAAGTGCTCAGTTTGAGTAGAAAAGCACTATACAAGAACCAGTCCACATGTATATTTATACACTGTATGTTGTTATCCTTTCTTTTATAAACAGTTGTTTATGTGCAGGGTGTGGTGTTACATGATGCGTGTCTCTTTAGGTGCCCATAGTAAAGGTCATCGATGTTGAACCAGTGAGACCATCAACATAACACATTTAATTTATTTTTATTTACACAAATAAGAGATTTGCTGGAAATAAACACTAACACAGTTAAGCTTCTTTGTCCTTTGGCTGGTTGAGAAAGATATGAGGGGGAAAAAAGCCAAATAAAGGAACATCAACACTGCACATCATCCTGTGCCAACACCAACATGGTTAATGCTGATTACAGCAATCATAATTTTTTTTTAAAAAGCTCAGGAAGCAATATAATTAAAAAAAGAAACCAAGTATACTATATGTGGTTTTTTCACTTTCAGGAAATTACATAATGTGCTCTTACAGAAAATGCCCTCTCCTTACTGGCATCTAATGCAACAAATGTTTTGCATGCTTGAAGCACGACACAGAAGGACTGACAACCGTAATGTGCTGTGAGAAAGTAACTTTTATAGACCACAGACAGATCACAACTGTGCCTTTGCTATATGCACAATATTGAATGTGCATACATTCATTGAAGTCAGCAGAATAACTACATAAAGAAAATATTCATATTACACCAAATGTATAAATTTGTACGAAATTACTTTATTTCCTCTCAGAAAATGTATTTAAAAGTATTACAGCAAATGCGAATAGATAAATGTAAACATAGGAGGACATTCATGAGGCATCGTACAATGTTTACAAAGTAGAAGTGGTTACAACTCTGTCAGTAGTTACAGGTTTTCTGAAATCAGAGCTCTGCAGTTGATAGGTGTTTTCTAGCTCCCACACCAAAGTGCTAAACATCAAACCTGATCGCGCCTGACCCGCCTACTTGAGCTTGCACAGCTCAGCGGCGGCTCCTTCTGAAAGCCAAAGTCCGATACGGAGCGGCTGAGTGAACTTCGTCATGACTTTGTGGAGGAGTTTTACGGTATCGGTGACACTGTAGAAGGACAAAACACCTGCACTGTGATCCAGGTACACTCCCACCCTGGAGGACCAGGTACCTGGGATCGGGGTTCTAATGTTGTTATACTTGAATTCGTAGCTATTTTTGAAACAGTCTAAAGCCCAAGACTTGTCATTGTTCCCAAACACGCATTCAGCGAAGCTCCCCGTTCTGCCGATACTCTTGTATGAGACTGCTACTAAAACGCCTTTCCCGCTCCTCTCCACCTCCAGGTAGTGGCGTCCAGCAGATCCCTCTGCCGTTCAGCCCTTTCTGCTGCGGCTGAGACTTTGATATGACCTTTATGATCGTCTTTGGAACAGAGATAACAGATGCAGTGCTGATCAGTGCGACAGAACAACTTCATCACCTCTTGATGGCGAGAGCAGATGTTTTCCTGAAGACTTGCACTTGCTTCCACAAGCCTGTGTTTCCTCAAGGGAGGTATATCATAGTGAGGCTAGAGGTGCGCCTCACAATATGAAGCCAAACACTGCAGACAGGACTTGGAGGCTTTCGTTTCGTTCAAAAAGCAGTTTGTAGTTCCTGTAAAGTCTGATTTTTCAGGTCTGAGGTGTTAACCAGAATTCCACAATGCGTACATTTTTACATCGCTTTTACTGTAATTCATAGTTATTCCGGTTACCCGTCACAAATATAAACATATCCTGCTTTCAGTCATGAAACAGGAGAAGACTTGTTGGCATGTAACCGCAGCTATTTTTAGAAACTCTAACCGTAGTCATCATGTGAAGGAAAATGTTTTAGAGAACTCGGGGGAATTCTTACAACTCTGGCAAAAGTCGACAGGGCTGTCAGAAACTTCTGTTGCTAGCTCAAACAAACATAAGGACATTTTATAATCTGGGCCATGAAAGGGCCAAACAAGTTATTCATTTGTTCAAAGAACCACAGAAGTCTCATGAAAGTTTGCCCAACCATTTCGACGGTGCTTTGTAGACTTGGAAAAGGCTTGCGACTGGGACAAACTAGCTATTATACGGGGAAAATGTTTAAAACACCAATTTGAAGCAGCTGGAAAATGGGTCCACACTCGGTTTACTTAGGCCTGGTCGCTGCAGAGGTCGTGGCCTCGTCTTTCCAAGTTAGAGTAAGATGCAGCTGGAGACTGGTGTTTAACTCTAATCTAATTGAGCTTTAAGCTACATTTATCAGTTTACAGTACTGTTCCTACCAAGGTCCGTGGTTATAGTCAAAACCGGCTTTATAAATAACCATTATCACATTATTATTATTATCTTTTCCACAGCGGTTTTAGGCCCTCTGTTAGAGATGAGCTGAGTAACTTTTATATAGTTGAGATTTGGAAATGGACCATGAACACCTTGGTCTAAAAGTATTCTGTGCACAGTAACAAGCCAGCCAACAGTTTAGTTTAAGTATCCTAGAATTTTACCAAAATCCACATTTACAAGTACTTTCAAGTAATCAAATTGGAAATTCTAATAATGATTGATTCAAATCATCATGGGTTTAAAAATAGTTTTTTATTGGCTGGTGAAATTAATCCTTGAAGACAGTTTATGTTTCAAATTTCTTTTTAAAAAACCCTAGAAGTTATCTTACTGACCCCAAATCAGTGCTCTGAGTCTACAGCTGTACACTCGAGTTCACTTAAAGTAAATGCAAGAGAAGGAAAGTTTTTCATTTTCTATTTTTTCTATTTTGGCTGAATGTAATGACATCAAAGTGGTAAATTCTCAGTACTGGAGGGAAAAGGAGAATCAAACTATATCACACTGACTCCATACAAAGCAGTGCGGATTAAAGCTGAAATACACCACGGGGAAGGAAACTGTGCTGGTGTGTGTGTGTGCTTGTTACAGAAGGAGAAAAGGAGTATTGTGTTGTTAAGTGTGTTCAAGAGAGGGTCTGAAAAATGGGAAAAAGGGGTTATTGTGCGTGTGTGTGTGTGCGTGTGTGTGTGTGTGTGTGTGTGTGTGTGTGTGTGTGTGTGTGTGTGTGTGTGTGTGCACACAAGAAGAGTACATTACAGGACTGAAAGGAATGAGGAGTGCTGGATTCATGCTGGGTTGTTCTTGTATTACTCATCCTGCATGGACTCAGATGCCTTTCACTGCCGACCTGGTTTGTCAATAGGTTACGGTTAGAGTTACGGTTAGAGTTAAGGTTAGGTGGGTAGAGACTGTAGTTACAGTTCAGGTAAGGCTCCAGGAAATCAGTGTTAGTTGGTGAAATGTTCTTAGAAGTGATTTAAACGTGAATGTGTTAGCGGCCAAGCAACACAAGGAGGAGTGTGTGTCATCTGCCCCCCTCCCAGAGAACTGGGGACGACCCCCCGCTGGGTCTGGATGTGAATACCACACATTCTCTCCATCCCACACTCCTCATTCCATCCCATAATGCACTTCCTGCCATTCTCCTTGACTGTGTGTCCTGTTAAACATCGACAAGGAGAGAAAAAAGTGCCGTATTCAGCCAAAGACAAAAGAAGGTTTCATGATGCACACACACACACACACACACACACTCGTTTTCATATCTTAGTGAGGACATCTTACCCTAACCATCAATAATCCTACCCCTCAGCCTAAACCATAACCTAACTGTAACCCTGACACAGAAACTGAGCCTCAAACTCGTGGGAACGGGCGTTTTGTCCCCATCAGTGACTGTTGGTCCCCACAAGTATAGTAGCATGACAATTTTGTGTCCTCACAAAGATGTCTAAACGTGCACACAGAGTAGCTGAGATGTGTGTGCTTCACTCCCCTGAGTGCAGTCTGAAAGGACAGAATCAAAAGAACCCACAACGATGGATCCATCGTGGAAAAGCTGTCACTGCTTTATTGGAAGGTCGGCCCTCATCCACGCTGATCAAATGGGAAGACCCGGACACTCTCAGACATGCACAACATTTTAAGAGACTGAAGTGTCACTGGAGACCAGCAGACACACTGGCTCTACAAAAGCTATTACTGGGAGCTGTTATTAATGAGAGGCTGAGCCTTCAGCTATCGGGCTCCCCCCTCCTGCAAAACCAGCTCCTAGTTTGGATTCGGGAGACAGACACGCTCTCTAGTTTTAGGATTACACTCCAAACTTTCCTTTTTAATAAAGCTTACAGTGAGGGCTGCTGACCTTGGACCATCCTTCAGTTATGCTGCTGTTGCTTGTATTTCTTCTCCACTGGTCTCTTTTCACTCCCCAAATGTTTATACATCATTAAATTGTGTCTGTTATCGCCCTCTCTTTTACGCTGCTGTGTTTGTGTGAGACTGGGAGAGAGAACAACATGGTCGGGGTATCAAATAATGAGGTCAGTGTACGTACAAGTAATCCTTGAAGATTAGGCTCAAGATTAATCTAAACACTCAGTTTCAGACAAGTTTTTCTCGCCTTGCCTCTGAACGATACCAGCTATCATCATCTCAGACAAAGCTCTGGCTGTGAGCACAGAAGCCCCGCCCACTAGCTATTCAAATATTCTGTTTATGAGGAGCAGCCAATCAGAACAGCTGGACTAATAAATAAGGATTATTTTGAACTGTGAATCATGCAAAGCTACTATAGTTTAAAACAGCACAGTGTGTGTGAGGGAGCAGTTCAGTTAAAAGGGCAGGATGAAGCTTTAAAGAACAGCCTGCTTTACCTGGTGCTTGAGGTAAGTAGGCTCCAATCAGCTTGGATCGCTTCTTCTCATAGCCCTTCTGTGTGATGTCACCTGCCATAGAGAGAAAGACAGAGCAAATTTTACTTTCCTTATTCTCATACAGCAATACCCAGCGAGAGAGCCAAAGTCAGTGTTAAGTAAAACATGGATGATCAATGTTTTCTAAACTTTACTTCAAGATTCAGAGATCATTAAAGCTGCACTGGGCATGCAGGTTTTTATGGTTTTTTTTAGATAAATGTTCACTGTTCCAGCTCCTACAAGCATAATTTAAAAAAACAATGACAAATTAACAATAAGACTGCAATGAACTGAATACATTTCCCCTGAAAAAGCAAAACAATTTAAGGTACTACAGCATTTAGAGAGATCACGGTATGCTTATCGCTTGCTTACGACCAGATGATTCTGTTTGAATGAATGTGAATGTGCATAAATGAGGAACTCAAAGCACTGCAGGTGCAGCTTATTCACCTTTCACAGTGCGACAAACCACCTCAAAGCTTGCTGACCGATCTCCCCGAGCGATAAATCAAACCTCGCTACGGTACCATCAGCAGATTTCCACGCAGCACAAAGCACATCTGAATCCAATAGCGCTTTTATAAACGATTCCCGGCATTGGGTTTTAACCTCCGGGGACTGTCAGATCACCAGGAGGGGAGGGGCTGCTGCATTTCAAAAGAAAGTTAAGAAGAGAGAGCCAGAAAATTTGGGGGTGAATCACTGCAAAGTAAATATGCGACTGCTGAGTATAAACACACAACAGACCAAATGAGTGTGACCCCACCCCTAATTATACTCCAAGTAAATGTAGCTGGAAAAAACAAAGTAACAATTTCAGAGAAAGGCAGAAAGCCACAGAGTGAAGGATTATGGGAATTAGAGTTTTAAGAACCAACACGGGCCCCAGATTACAATATGCATTTATATTAATATTTATATAGAGGTAAATATATTATATATACACTGATAAACAGTAAATACAATATAGTCTTTATTCTATTTCTAATTCTACTCTATTTCAAATAAAGTTACAGTATGAAAGCTGGAGAGTCTGAGGAGGTTTTGTAGTTTGTGAAATGCTGAATGGTAGTGACTGAGGGAGAGTCAATGAGCCAACAAGTCATTATTGTATAAATGTATTTGGTGGAGACACTTGGATGTGCGTCTATGGGAGCTGAGGCCAGCTGATGTTCTTTATATTGTTTTTGATATTTGTTTCCATTTTCTTAAGCATCAGTTTTAAATATGCACTGAATATGTGCTAATTTAGAAAAACCTGAAGATTTCATTTAGCTGACATATTAGAATCAAACGGTTTTACCCTATAAACAAAAAACTATGTCAACAGCCAGAAAGAGTCGGTTTCCATCGCGCTGTTTGGGATAAAAGACTTTGTAAATCCGGTTCTGAATCAAGCTTACTAGTTGATAACTTTTACAAGAAAAACGATTTTGTTGTCTTGTTAGTTTTCTGAAATATTATGTTCAATATTGAAAATGAAGCAGTATCTATCAAACGTGTAGAAACAAGCAACAAAATTCAGTGAAATAAAACCTAAATGTGTATTTTGGAGATTTTCTTTCCACTAGTCTGCAAGAAGCCATGTTATACAAGCAAAATAGCAAGTGGATGAAAAATGCATGTGTTTGCCTGAGGTGAATCAACTTAAAATATGATAAAATGTTTTTACGGGATGCAAACGTCTAATTAAAATATTTGCTTTATGCATGACAAGCAGGCTCTCTACGAGTCTGCAGAGTCCACGTGACTTGATGAATTGTAGGTCCAGACAGTTTTTGGTGCTTGCAGACTTCAGAGGAATTTTCCAGTTAGGTCTGTGTGTGCAGTTGCAGGGACATTTGGATTCAACATGTTCGGAGCAAAGAGGACGGAGAGGACCGGAAGGGCTGGAGAATAGATTCAGGATGAACTTCCACAACAAACTTGTGCGCGTACCGTTTGTACATTCTGTGGGATATAAAAAAGGAGCATCGCAGCAGTGTTTGACAAGCAAGTTTGTCTCGGTGATGTTACACACTTCTTACAGTGTGTGGCTTTTTGTTAATTAAATGCTCATGTTCAATGTGCTTCGTGGTTTTAGAAAGCAGGTCACAGAACACATGTTTTCTAAGGCACGATAACAAAAATAATTACACCCATCTCCATATTTTGTTACATTTGGGCTCCACTACAGCAGCTGTATGAGAATCACAGTCCAAAATAATCCGCATTTGTCCGATACGGGGCCCTGGTGAACCCCTGATTGGCTAACACTCACAAGCAGAAGGTTTGAACAGCGAGTGGGTGGGGCTTCTGTGCTCACATCAAATGAACACATCTGCTCGCAGTGATATGATGCAGAGCCAGTGGTTCTCACATCAGTGAGTGGATGTCACGGTGGGACTGGATGACCCCCCCATACTTTCTGAGCCACGGGTGCACCGAGGGGAAAAAACTCAAACTGGCCGTTTAAAGCAGTGTGAAGCTGAGATTCTCACTCTTTTTGACTGTGTTTAGTATGAACATCCATTCTTTTAAACCAATCAGGGTAGAAAAGTCACAGTCCCTGCTTTAAATGCAGGACTCTAAAAATACCAAACATTCTTCGTGCAGACTAAATGCTCTGCTATTTACATATTCTGAATTTCTGTGACGACTGTAGCTGCCGAATGATCAGCTGCGGAGCAATTTCAGGATTTCTCTGCCTGGAGGATGTCTGAGTAAAAATTTATAATTTAAAAAAAAAAAAATCGGGTGAGTGTGCTTCCCAAGCAGCGAGCGACGCACGAAGCAGACCTGAGTGACGCTAAACCTGCAGAGGATTTGTCGAACACAGAAAAAGCGGTTTGCGTGGCTGACTTGACAAATCCTTCTTAAACGCACAAACATGTGAGTAACTGGCTGGGATCAAGAAACCGGCTGTGGGCACAGACGTCATCTGCGATGATGTCAGCACAATGTATGTGTGTGTGAGAGAGATTTCAGTAGCATGAAGGCACATGGCAATAATTATCATCTCTGGCAGGGGATCCAACTACCCTGCTGAGAGAGAGGAACTGGAAAATACACTGAGGGAGGGGAAGACATGTGGGTAAACAGAGGAGGTCTGACCTTGTCTTTTAGATATTGACTTGTTGAGGAGGTGACACACAAACACTCAGTTAGCATGTTCTTGATTTAATTGGAGTTTTATCAGCAAAGCGGAGACCGAGTGAAATGAACATGTCAGTCAGCTCTGTGTTAAAAATCATCCACCCAGTCGGACAGGCGGTCCATCAGCCTGTCAGTCACTCTGTCAGGCACAGAGTCAAACACACTGTGGCTGTATATTAAACTACCGCAAGATAAATGCTGTCTAATGCAATCAGGTTTTGTATAAACAGTGCATTCATGCAACTTTCCACGTTACTGCAGGTTTACACGCGGAAAATAAGAAAGACGTGCCAGGCTTTTAGGATCATGCCCAGGAAGGGGCCGCCATTGCTGCCAGCGCCGTTTTAGTCAAGTGACGGGTTGGAATACTCACGCTTTTTCCTAAACGTATAACAAACCACATCAAAAAAATCTGTGAAGACAACGTTGGATTTGAAACCAAGCCCAGTGATGAATAACAAGCAGGAACATATTAAATAAAATAGATACAAACCATACACACATAAAAAACAGTCATAAGCCTCATAATAAAACACGTACTTTTGCTTATGAACACAGCTGAGACACTAAAATGTGCCTGTGAAAGAAGCTGAATGTGATTCTTTTGATTACAACAATAAAATAAAAAGTTTTCACAGAGTTATAATGGCTGCTGTGACTCAGTTTTCCGGGGAAATACAGAATTTTTTCACCTCTCTGAGCCTTTTTAAAGTAGGTCAGAAATGAAAAAGATGAGACACCAAGGATTAAAAAGGACAGGTAGTAATAATGAGATAAGTTTTTGTCATGAAGTCTATAAAACACCATAAAACACAAGAAACTATGCTCATCCTCCACCAGCAGTTGGTGCTGTTCAGCACCAAAACACACTGAATTTAGAGTCAAGTATCATATTACTCTGAAACTATGTTACTGATTTTGTGAGGATTAAAGTTATTTTTCTGCAAGCTAGTGCTCGTGCAGGAAACCTGTGCATGCAAGTACAGTATACAGAGCAGGTCAAAGGTCAGGGCACACACTCAAACTGTGTTTACAACAGTTTCAGTTAATAAGTTGATATTTTGCCATATTTTCTCTTCCAATTAAGTTCATCTAAGCTGGAGGATTATTTCTAGCCTCTCCCTCGATCTTAGGCGTTTGACTTGATGAGAGTTATACTCGTATGACAAACTGAAACAGAAACTTCCAAAGCAAGATCAAAAGCGAATGAGAGGTCCTCCTCCTTTCTCAGACTGGGGTGAGGAATAAAGAAGCAGATGATGAGGATGGAGGGATGAGGATCTTTAAATAGGCACAGGGGAAGGAAGGATGACTCAGGCTCTGCTATTCTGTAACTTCTTCCCTCCGTCTCACTGTCTGTCTATTTCAGTTAGAACAAAATGGATTTAGGGTGATGTTTTCACAGGTCAGAGTGAGGTGGTGTAAGCCCCGAGAGCTTAAACTGTCTCCAAACACAAACAGACACAAAGAGCTTCACATTTAGCTCGAGTGAGTCAAAAATCTAAAAGGCTAAACACAGACGAGAAAGAAGCAATCAATCCTTCAGTTCATTAAAAACCAAAACAATAAACTGGACAATCAAAAAAGAAAAATCCAGATTTTATGAATTTGCTGATTTATTGCTTTTCTTTAATGATGATGTGAAAAATGAACAACAGAATTAGAGCTCTGGAAACCAAAACCATATCTGAAAAAGAAACCTCCACAGTTTTGCAGAACACATCTCTGGAAATGTTTATGACCACAAGGCGCTCTACCTCCAATCAGAAAGCACAGCGTCATGTTAGAGGGCGAGTACTTCAGCCTGCAGCTTCTTTACACATTCAAGACGCCTAAAGCACCAAGAGCAGAGGACGGCTCAGCACGAGCAGCGCATTGAACAGTTAGCACAG